CAGGATTCCCCAGCCAGCCATGCTGGCTGGGGAATCCTGGGAGTTGAAGTCCACCCATCTTAAAGTTCCCAAGGCTGAGAAACACTGCTTCCCATGTCACTGGCTCCATTGCCATCCAAACAGGGTTTATATTTCAGAGCCATCCGTGCACAGGGCAAAACAACCCCGGCCTTGCAAACCAGCCCACTCAGTTTTTTAGCACAGCCGCGTCCTCCAACAGACCTTCCCATTGATCGCACTATTTACGGAAGGCAGCTTCCAGGCTTCAAATACGTGCCATGCAAACCTTCGGTTTCTAGCTTCCCGACACCCCCCGTTCAGCATGCCCGTGGGATTGAAAGCTTTCAGAACGAGCAAGGACACCATTCCCCGTTTGCACACGTCCCAGCCATGTCCACAGTTTGTTTATTTGTCCACGCCCATGTTCCTGTGTACACTCCAGATTTAGCGCTTTGGAAGGAAATCTCTATTAAAACAAACGGCGCAAAATAAAACTCGGCCCTTCAGGAAATCTTGTTTGAAATCAGTTCTTTGCATTCTTTCTTCCTGTCTCTTTTTTCAGGGGAGGAAAAAAAGTGGGTGGGGGAGAGACCCAAAGTGTTCCCCCCGCCCCCAGGCTCCCAGCCCATTTCACCCACCGCCCGTTCCTACTGAGTTTTGATTCTCAGTCTGAGAAAAAGATTTCTCTCGCTCTGAAAGGCCATCTCATCTTTGCAAAACCGAAACCTAATTCTAGGCGAGAATCGAAAATTAGCACAAGCTTTTTCAGAGCTTTTTTAAGTTGCAGAGATGAGGATCCAGATTTGATCCAATCTGCATGTTTAGCCTGAACCCCTCCAGGTCACGAATCATTTGCAAGAATAAAAGATGACCAGCCGAAGGAGAAACAAAATCGAAATGAACTCTGATCAACCGACCTGCGCCCAGCTTTGCCAAAAATTAATATAGGCTGCCCAAGTCCATGGTTTCTATGGGCTTTCCAAAAACTTCAAAGGGAATAACAGAAACCTTATTTATTTATTTATTTAGCCAATTTATATAGCCGCCCACCTCAGCAAATGACTCCGGGCTGCAAATCTCCCATGATCTTATTTATATATTATTAATCGTTTCAATGGTGGCTTAAGTTTTTTTTTTTAATTTTTTTTTTTATTGTACGCCACCCAGAGTCACGTTAGTGGGATGGGCAGCTATATAAATTTGAGAAATAAAATAAAGAAACATTTAAAATCAAATAAAAATGATAAAAACAATATAAATCATACAAGTCCTGGGTAAAAGGATAAATTTAAGTCCCCCCTACACTATAATAGGGAAGGGACCGTCTCAGCTCCAAAGTGAATGTAAAATTTAGCCATTCACCTATCAAGCTGGCTGGGGGATTCTGGGAGTTGAAGTCCATACTTCTTACAGCTGCCAAGTTTGAGAAACGCTGGTTTAGAATATAATATTAGTAAAAATATTATATCCCCCCTATTGTGGGGGAGACGGGCGGTGGAGAAATCCAATCAATCAATCAATCAATCAATCAATCAAAACCGGGTTAAGTGGGCAGTGCTGTATCTAATACAGTTGAGGACAAATTGAGAAAACCCTTAGCTAATCTATAAAAAAAGAGATTATTCTGAATCCAGCTGAATAATGAAACCTAGCAAATGTGCTGCAGAACAGCTAAGAAAAATACTTTTGAAGTCAAAATGGAAACTCTTCTTCAGTTTCCAGATTGCCTGTAACAAATCACAATCGGCCTATGGGCGGTACCCAAAATAGCTTGGCGGTGCCCACCCAACGCAGGGATGGCGCACCCCAGCTCGCTCGGGCCCAATCCGGACCCCATGCCAGGCACAGACACATCGGGGTGTTTTTGCCTTGAACGTAGATTCCTGACTCTCCCGTTCGTGCATCTGGCGCGCCTGTTTGTACTTAAACCCCACCACAATTGGCTGCCCATTGCTCCACATTTTCCAAAAGCCTGCACATCTGCGGGCACATAAAGTTCCCCCGAGCGCAGGGTAAGTGAGGAAGCTGGAACAAGAGGCGCTGTTTTGCCAAGGATGCAAGCGCACACCCGGGGAGAGAGGCCCCCACGCCAGAAAAGAATTCTGCCTATTTGCTGATTTGCAGAGCAGAGGCGCCCCTCCCATCCACTGCGTACACATCACTCAGGGCAACAAAACAAAACCACACAACACAGCACAACAACACAACAGTGACGGTCATTTACAAAAAAAGCAAAATGACAAATAGGCTGATTTCTTATAGCAGGCCAATACAGTGAACTACATACGTAGCCTATCGAGAATTTGGAGCAACAGGACTGTGATGCTCAGTTGATACTGGCCTCCCCAGGGGTCCCTGGGGGTCCCGTGCAGGTCCTAACTTGGCATCTGGAGGCTGAGAGGGACCGGAGGGGGGCCACCCTTGCCCTGGAGCAGAGTTTCTCAACCTCAGCAACTTGAAGAGGTGTGGACTTCAAGTCCCAGAATCCCCCAGCCAGCACGCTTCTCTGGCTGGGAGGCCACCTGTGGGGGTTTGGGACCAGGAAGTTCTGACACCGGCATCCTATGCCCCTGTCTTTACGAGAGGGGGTTGCAATCCCCCCATAGCCCTCTGTGGCTTGGGGCCTGGGTATCTCTGAGTCTGCCTTCTCCGGGTCAACTCTGCCCAGCCAGTGCGCGCAAGCCAGGGCTCGCGCTGGGCACAGCAGGGCCCAGTCAAGGAAACGAGACTTGTGCGTTCTTCCATACGGAAAGGTGGGGGGGGGCGTTAAAGTCCAGAATCTTGGAAAGCGCAAGGGAACTTCCATCAGAGAGCTGGTGAAGGCAGAGCCTCCAAAACTCTCAAGCGCTTCCTCCCAGGTTTCTCGCCACCCAGCCTCCCGTTTACGAGACCAGCTACCAACAAGTTCCCCTCCCATCTCAACCTTGGCAGCCTTCATACGTGTGGACTTCGACTTCCAGAATTCCCGTATGGCTGCAAGAGGCTTTGGACACAGAGGGTGGGGTGGGCCTGGTGGGCTTGTAGTCAGTGTTGCGTTGTGTTATTTATGATGGGGGCCACCTTTGTGGGAGGGCGTCGGAGTCTTGTGAAATTGCTGTTATTCGTTCATTCGCTGCTGACGCTCAGGGACCTGGTGGGGACCATCCCTCCAGAGCTGTCCCTCCTGCCAGCGGCCTCAGGGGTCGGACCCTCTAGCCCCCTTGTCTTCTCTAGACCGCCTTTGATCCTTCCAAGCACCAAGGTCGTCTCCAGCAACTCCTGCCTTCACATTACACGTGCAACGTATCTAAGCTTTAGCCTCAGGCTTCCATCTAGTTTCCTTACATCGAGCATTGAATATTTGCTCTTCTCGCTGTCCAAGGGGCGCCCAGGAATGTTCTCCAGGGACATCGTGCTTTGTTCCTGCTGCTGCCTCCCTGGTGCTCCAGCTTTCACAGCCCAGGGCTCCGAGTGGGAACGGCTAATCTCGCAGGCACCCACCTCAGCTGTCCCTGTGATGTCCCTCCACGTTCGTCACGTTTACCATGGTTTTTCTCCCGAGAAGCAGGCCAGCCTTCAGTCTTGTCCCCACCCCTGTGAATTTCTCAGCTGAGTAAGGCAACCGATAAACCATGGCATAAATAAAGTGAAGCTGTCTGTAAGCAAACTTCCCAAAGCTCTAAATTCCAGACATGTGAATAGCAGTTTCCCGACAAGGTCCAAAAGTGTTTCAGGTCTGACTGCCTTGAATTTACCTGACACAGAAGCAGGTATGTGTTCTCCAGAAAGTGGATGCTGTTTTGAAGCAATTAAACAACAACAACAACAACAGACATTGTTGTGCTGTTTGCTTGGCACTAAGAGAGGAGGAAAAACATCTTCAGTAGATGTTTCCATTCCTAATTCCTTACTTAATTTGCACCTCACAAACAGAAGATGAATTGAAATGCTGTTACACTTCAATGTTCACACTTTTCCAAATTTTGTGAGGCACTTTTCCAATCAAAAATTGCATCCAAACATGTATGTAATAAAATGTGTTGATTACTAATTATACTAATCAAGCACTCTATATGTATAATTATGTGTTCATCTATTTTCTGCATAAATATAACTCATTATAATACAAATAAT